ACGACTTCGTAAAGTTAGCCCGTTCGTACTTGGCACCAACAAAGTTCTCTACTTTTGGTCAGCACAATAGAGTTAGGCGGGGCGGTGAAGCAGACCGTCTTAAACAGGTCCGTTCCATTGCTGACTGCTTGGCTGTAATTGCTGGTAAAAGTGAATTGGGTAGGTGTCCGTCGCGAACCGAGAAAATGGAACAGTGGCAGGCTTTGCACATGCCTACATCGGAAATTGATTTGTCTGTTATACACGGCCTGTTTTTGTAGGATCTTGATTTCTTCTTTACCTTCATGAATAGGTCTAGCTTTTCTAACAGTTTTTTCCGAACTCACCAAAGAGAAGACCTTTGTTACCTCACCCGGATTTGGATTGCTTAAGCTTCTTGGTACGTAATGCACGTCAATTGTATCCAATTTACCGACAATATGTGAGAGAAAACCCGAATAGAGCATATCTTTGCATTTATTTGTACAAATGCTTTGGTGATTTTATCGTTTTTGACAATAAGTCTTCGTCGAACGACGATGTCTTTCCTGACGCCTGTGATCTACAATCCAGTAAAATATACGGATTAGTGAAGAGAATAATTTTAACCGAGCTAACCCCAGTCTTAATGCACACCGCATCCATACTTACGGTGCTTTGCGTACTTCTTCCTTTTGGGTGACTTAGGGGATGATACGGAGTCAGATTCCTCTTGATCTGAGAGAAGGTATTCCATATCCTGCCGCTCTGGAGTAGTTCTAACAAGTTCTTTATCGTCGTTTTTTGGAGTGCGCTCTCGTCGTTTGCTGCGAGATCTCGACGACGATAGTGGTGAGCTTCGTAGCCGACGCCGTCGTTGAGGCGACGGTCGTGGTAAGGCATGTTGCTTTTCACGACGATAGCGAAACCATTCTTTCGCCACTGATTGGCTAAAATCGACGTGGATGCGGCGGTCGTCAATAACGACGTTATCCATTTTGAAGAAAGCCTCCTCACAGTCTTCCTTCCGGGCAAATTCAATGAAAGCGTACTGCAGTGAATTGCCCGACCGCCGGTCATAAATCACTTCAGAGGATAGAATTTCACCAAAGCGACTAAAAATTACTTCCAAGTCTTCACCACGAGTAACAGGATTGAGACGACACACAAACAGCACATTTTCGGGAGGTTTGGCGTCCACGTCAGGTAGGTCACCAAGAAGGGTCAACAGCTGAGCGTTTGTTCGTGCTTCTTTCATTGCCTCACGCTCAGCTCGCTCAGATTCCGTCAATTCTCTCCCATCTGCTTCCCCATCAAGATCCTCATCTTCTTCAATCCGAGGAGGAGCCATACCATCTGGGTCCTATGAATAAATACAAAACTAACAAAAAGCAAGCGTACCTCGTAAGACCTAAAGAATTTCGGAGAAGAAGGCGGAACTTCAAGACCATCCGGATCTGGAAATGGATCATCTAGAATGATTGCCCGATGAATACGAATATTGCGATAGGGGCGTGACTCTTTGTCACAATAAGCATCGTTAATTTTGGACAAAAATTCCTCGCCTTCTGCTACCTAAATATTACACGCAAATGTGTTTATTTTATGAGTACATACAGTGCCAAAAACACTGTGTTTATTGTTGAGATAATCGAGATCATCAGCGAGAGTTATAAAGAATTGTGATCCGTGTTGACCACTGCCATTATTAACCATAGAAACCAAACCACGCTTCTTGTGGTATATTTTCGGCAAAACTTCACATTCAAAGAAACGAGCTTGTTCTCCGTAGAGCTGTTCAAAGATAGAGCTGCCACCACGCCCAGTGCCTGAAGGATCTCCAGTCTGAGCAACTAAATTACGCTGAACGCTGTGAAACAAGCATCCATTGTAGTAGAAAACTTTACACAATTTAAGAAAATTAAGCGAACATCTTGGACGTTCTTCAGTGTACAAATCAATCACAACATTTCCTAATGACGTCTCTAACAAAACTGACATCGTCACACAGCAAACAAGAGGGCAGGAGCAAGGCTCGAGATCATTTGTAAAAGTCGCAGCACGAAAGGGTCATTTAAAGTACCACAAGTTGTAATAAAGCTGGAGTTAGAGGTAGGCTATAATTTACTATACAATTCACGTAGCTAATTAGCGAAATTTTCCAAGCAATTCTATAAGAATTACATTGTCGTGCATACACGAAAGCTAAATTGAATAACATTTGTGTTACAATGGCATAAACTGATTAACACATTGGATATTATAGAAATTTGTAAAGAATAAACATATTTAAAAATTTTCAGTTGCCCAATAATTTTGGCTCGCTGTAGATTCGGAGCAACCTAAGTAACAGGTACTTCCATTTGCTAACGATTAAAGCACAGTGCATTACCATGTGTGAGTGCTTTTTGCGTTTGTGTTTAAACCTTTTTCCGATTGGGCAGGTGATTTAAACATGCTTGTCAGATATTTTTGATGCTTGCTGATTGCCATTGGTGTTCGTTTTATTGATTCGCTTAATCAAATACTCTTTCCTCTATTGGCGTTCCAGTTATGTGTTTTAAATAATCATTAACTAGTTTTTTTAGACCATACATTTTTGACTGAATATCACTTGTGTACCGGTCCTCTGTACACCACTGAGCTACGCGCACTACTTTCTTCGGTTTCATCATGGCAGCTGAAATCGATTGGCTGGCATACGTCTTTGAGCCACATACCCTTTTACATGATTTGGAGCATCTTGCGGATGATTCTAAAGTTAAATTAATGCGCTCCTTTCTCTCCCAGGCCGAATGCCATGACCGTCGTCTCTCTTCCGTACCGGTCAACGAAGAGGAAAAGTTGAATTCTGACAATCTTTCTCCATCTATATCCTCAAATTCCATCCCTATAATTTACGATAAATCGAAAACTCTTGATTGTCTGGCAATGGTGATCGCAGCGCATTTTCGCTTCAACGTCAATCTCTTTGCTGGAGTGGTAACAGAATTGCCACTTAGGCTCGCCTCGCGGCTCTACCGCATGCTTTTTCATACCCTTTTGGAACGGAATAGTCGTGGCTCTGCGGAAAGCAGTGGTACTTGCACAACGCCTTACGATTTAGGGCCATGGGACAGTCTGGAACCCACCCTGGCCTTTGCGACTCTGGTTTACCATTTGTGGTGCTTGCAGGTGACTTTACCTAACTTATAACATTTCAAATGTAGGTGGCACTGACTGATAGTATGTTGTCATTGCCGAATCGCGATATGACACCTGCTGTTTGGGGCCTATCAGAGGTACCTGATCAGGCTTTCTTGCAAGATAGTCGGGCAGATCGCGAGGCTCTTCTTATGCGTCATGAAGAGTCAGCTTTACGTGTTCATGATCTTTTGCGTCGCCTGCAGGTGAGCGATTCTGCTGTGAGTATTGCTCGTCCTACTCCAGCCTCCCTTGCCATTGGCACAACGCTTGTGGAAGATGAGGTGCCTCTTTCTGCCAACCGTCTTGTGGCCGGGACTGCTTTTACTCTTGGACGCCTGGCCTTCCAGCACAACCTGCTGGAAAAGGCAACGGAACTTTTTCTTTTGGCTCAGAAAGCCAGCACTGCTGCGAAGGTTAGCGATTGACTTGTTTTATTTTTCAAATGCATCTTTGGATAACTTCCTTTAGCAGTTTCCGATTCCGCAATCACTTAATTTACCTTTCCAGCTTCGAGTCCATGGATTATCCCGTTTGAACTCACTTAGCATATGCGGGCTCAAATTGGATCTTTTGGGCTGAATTCCAATACTGTAGTTTTAATATGATCAATGATTTCAAGAGACTGAGGGTCGTTTCCATTTCCACATGGTTTCGATGGCTCTACGTCCTCCTTTCCAAATTTAACGCTTGACAAAGGAGTTGGGCAGAAGAAGCAAAGCACTTTAGTGCAGTCTAGTTCACCGCTTCATGTAGCCCCCTATGTTGGCTAGAGGTAGAGGATTCCGTTGGTAACACGTATTACTGGATTAAGCTAAAGATGCTATCTTTTTACGGTGATTTTGGTTATTGTTCTCTTATGATGGGTCGTCATGTTCGCTTAGTCACATATGAGCTGCCGTGACTATCCAGGATGTACATACTTTGACCGAATCAATCACCGCGATGTGAAAGGTCGCCACTAGACACACAATGATTATCTCTAAGTTAATTTTCCAATGCATGCGGAGGCGGCTACTGAGTCTAGGTGCTGGAAATCACTGACGAACGCGTCACTGTGGGAAAAGCGGATTGTGCTCCAACCGCCTTGCTACTGGCAGTTATTCTGACCCATATTTCTAGTTTATTGGTCGAGTGTTTTGGTATGTGTTGTAAGGTATCAGTGCGTTCAGGCTGGTACTTCAAGATAAAACGTATTTCGGATTTTTTTCGTGACCTTTTTTTTTCGTGAGCAGCTATTTCATTGGCCGCTAATATTTTCGTGTTTATCCTTTTCTAACCAGCTGGACTGTATAGAGGAGTCGGGGATGACACCCCTTCTCGTGAACAGTTATTTAACATGCTGTCAGCAACAGCAACTTTCACGGTCGCTGGTACCGTCGTCGCCTACCACAAGTTACTGGCACCTCATTGATACATTTTGCGCCACTCTGAGGCAAGGGCTTGATGCGAAGGATCTAGAATTTTCCACTCTTATCTTTCCTATTTCTTCGCCGGTGAAAGTGAATCTACGCGGATCATCATCTTCCTCATCATCATCTCTTAGAGAGACTAAGAAAACGACAACGTTAGTATAGATTAATTGATTTCTTTACATGGAGAAAATGCTCTTAATTGTTACCTTATTGCTCCCTTTCTGTGTTTATCCAGAAAGAGCAAGTTTTCTCAGGATGATCTAATTGCTGCACTGGAAGCAGACACACTAGTACCTGGATCCGCCGCTCCACCACTCGGTATTGGGCTGAGACGCTATTTGCAGCAGCTGGTTTACGAGGCACTCGTCACCATCACTGCTCGCTGCGCTACCTCGCCAAGGAAAGAAGTAACTCATCTGAGGAGGGTCTTCCACGACTGGCAATCCTTCTACACCAAAGTGGTTATAAATAATGGAATGAAGGGAATTATTCAATCATCGTCTATTCAAACCACTGCATTTTGTGAGACGCTGTTGCTAGCCACTGGGGAAGATGATGCACCTTCGATAGATGCAAAAGAGGCAGCGGGCATTCTTTTCACTGGTCTTGATCGACTTATCAACGAAAATGGTGCCACAAAGACAGAGGTTATAAACTTTGTTGGTGACTTTCTTGTCAGAATCCGATTGATGCTTTCTGGAGGAAGGTCTGCGGCAGCTTCGCGTGCTGCTGCAACTTTTATTGATGCACTGGCCAACTCTCCTTTGGTGCGTTATGCAGTTCGCTGTTTGTTCTGCCACGACGTAGTCTATACTTTGGCGTTTTAAACTTATTTAGGTTTCTACTTAGGTTTTATTATTTCAGAACCTATTAGCTCTCCTAATTTGAGCGCCCTCAATGAGGGTTATTCTTTACTGATCGTCGGGAACCTAATACACACATGGACCTGGTCGATCCATTAGACATGAACCCTTTTCGAACAAGTAAAGTTATTGCTTCATGATGCACATCCGGATGTACAACTCTTTTAACCATCTAGATGAACGTTTTGCCCACTGATTTCCAAACTGTCACACACGTTCTTCAAAAAGATCGAAAGCTAGAGAAGCGGGCTCCTGATAACCTTTTCAACGATCTTCCAGACGCAGCAGTGGAATACGCGCTACCACCACCTCTTGTTGCGTCACAAGTTCACCGGGGTCACTTGTATCCGGAAACTCGTATTGTCTCACCTTTCTCCCTCCTCATCGTCAGTTTAAACCCCAAAGTTGTTCTAAATTCCTGCACCGATCTCCTAAATGCTGGGTTACCTGCAGAGGTAATACTTCGATCCGGTGGCTGGGTGGATACTGTCTTACCAATAGTAATCAAGTGGGTCACTCCTTCTGATTCTCCAAAGCAAAGACGCGTCAGTTATCTCCCGATTTCTTTTCGTGCTATTTACATCGGTTATTTTGATTGCTTTTCATTTGTATGTAGGATACATCTTTAAATGGGGGCTTATCTCCCCCTCTGTTGTACGAATTCCTCACCATAGCGTCTGAGAATGGTCAGTGCTGCCTTCCGCCACTCCTACTACTGCTACGTGCGATTGATCTTCGCAGACAGCGTGGAGACTATGAGGCAGCGACAGCTTTTCGTCTGGCGGCCAATCACGTTTTTCCATCCTCCGGACAAGGGGCTCCCAGTGGCCCCGCTGGAGGTGCTAATGGAGGTGGGGCGCTTTGGCGACGCAGTCTCCCCCGTTGGATTCGGGGCGTCATGGAACATGAGGCTGTGGTTGTGGATCTCTTAAAGAGCATGAATCGTAATAGCTTCTCCTATAACCCTTCCCAAGCACGAATTAAGGAGACGGAATTGGTGAATCGATGTAAGGCCATCTTGAGCAATGATTTGGGACCTGATGCTGTGATTTCAGATGACCTTGTGTCGTGTGCTACATGCTACCTTCTGACCAAAGTGAGTTCCCCTCTATCGTTGAACATCATTCTGGAATGCTGGGTAAAACAGTATTATAGGTGGCTTCTCTCATTTTCAAAATAAAATGGAATTGCACCACATTAATTGCAAATAGAAGAACCGTTGAACCGCAACCATGAATGTTGACAAGATAATGCTTTAAACAGCCCATAAATATTTCACAATGATTTTCCTTTCATTCTTCTTCTTTTTCAGGAACCCTCATTCTTTTCGACCCTTAGTGGTTGCTCGCCTATGGTTGAATTTATCACACGTCTCCACAAGCTCTCACTGGAGAAGGAGAAATCGCCTCTTGCTGTGCGTGATCTCTGCCTCAATCGTCTTTTGATCTGGCTTAGGCCGATCCCTGAGGTACCCTCCTCAATTCCACCTCATAAAATGTCAAGAGGTTAGTTTATTTTTTTACTAGTATGCCATTTTAGACCCACGGCAGTTAGCAGGCGTTACTGGGGGAGGAGGCAGTGGCAACCCCGTATTGGTATCCAATGCACCAATTCCTCCTCCCAACACTGATCCTTTGCGATTCCTACTTCGACTCCTCACGCAGATGCAAGGTGACGAAGTTCACCGCCTCCTCGATTCTTTCATCAGCTGCTTGGCTGGCTGTGTCATGAGCGTTCAGCCTACTTTCAAAACAGACGTAATTATGGAGCCATGGCTATCTCTTCCTCCACTCTCGGTTAGTGTGTATGGTATAGCGACGGTTGTGTAGGGTGTAAAACCACAGACATTGACGGAGATGCTGCAATTCGCATTATCATGTGGCATCAGATCGGACCCACGAAACGTGAAATGGCTCATTCTTCAAGCTGATCTTCAAATGGCATTAACAAGCGCCGACTCCAGAACGGTGCTGTCTCTGATTCTACAGGCAGCGGCAGCGGCAAGCGACTACTTTGCTCGACCTGTACCGTCAAATGTTTTTACTGAACGCGTAAGTATCTGTTTTTTTCTCCAACTTATTCCTAAATAATAATCTCCTGGGTGCAGTGAGGAAGCAAACGAATCTAAGGCAGCCATGGTCACCTACCCAATTCACCATTTTACCAGCAATGGAACGGACTTATTCGAGACGGTCTGCTTCACTGCCCCGCCTAACTCTATTGTACTGACCAAAAGTAGAGAACTTTGTTGGTGCCAAGTACGAACGGGCTAACTTTACGAAGTCGT